CTCCCCACTGTTTGCTCTCTGCTGCTCACTGTGCAACACATCATGACAGTCAAAAGCCTTTTCAGACATTCAATTACTTAGAGGGGATGTGTGCCAATTTGTTATGTTGATCTAATGTTTGAGTAGGAAACATTTTTCCTTTAAAAGCCACAAAGGTTATCTAAAAGTAATGTCTGCTAGAGTGCTTTGGATGTGAACTGAGTGTAGCTTCTGTTCGCAATAGACAATTGTTTTTAATGAAACAATTTTAAAATGCAGCAATGATTACTTCACAGGGATGTCTGTCTATTTATATGATCATCATTCTTAGTTGTGCCTTTAAACTCGTGGAGCCTTTACTCAAACTTTTAAAATATATTTAGAGTGTCACAGTAGCCTGAAGCAACACAACCCTTAATGTGCAGGTTGTGAAAGATGCTTAGATGTGGGGGTGTAACTTCTGTACTAGAAGCACATACCTTTGCCTCGTCCGTCACTGACAAAAGGTCTAAGAGAAAAATTTCTCCAATCCAGGTTTGAGGACACTGACCTTTTCCCTGGCCACCCCTTGATCTGAAACCTTAATTTCAGACTAGCTCATATATATTCAGCTGAGTCTCATCCTCAAGGTGCCCTGGAGGCCAGAACCGCTGCCACCACCTACTCCCCATCAGCACCGCACACTGACCACTGTGATAACAACAATTGTAATCCCACGCGGTACAACAGGGTTGGATGGGCCTGAGAAATGTATAACTTTGCGGCTCTTATCCATTCCGTTTTTATTCTCGGTTATACAGGTGTACTCCATATATGTTCAACCATTTTCGTGGGGAAATACCGTGTAGATGGTGATCTTCCGATTTAGATCAATCTAGGCGGGGCAAACATTCTAGAGGTTTATCTGAAGGGGTAAGCATGCATCAATTATGTTTGTGGTTCAACTGTGCTGTTACATCAGGTGAAGATTATATTCACATGCCCACACATAATTGCTACTGTAGTGTGTCTCAATGTACCCAGAAAATAAATGCTCTCTCTGTTTTTGTCGCCCGTGTAGAAGGGAGGACTGGGAATCCACAAATGATATCCACAAGGGTATTATCTGAAAATCAATGACTCATTGCTTTGAAAGGGAGATGAGATGGTATGATCTCAGCCTATGCTGTCAGCAAGAGGCAATGTGACCTCTGGGCCTTTGAGACTCCACTCCCTTCATTACAAGTCAAGTAAATATGTTATTATGGCCCAAGGCAGCTGCTCTCTTCCACCTGAGCAAAAAGCCTGGGTTGCCTGGGGAAACAGTGAGCCCAGTATGTGAAATGCAGTTCATGAAAATATTGTTTTTATAGAATGTTGTTATTGTGAGTTTGTACTCATGACGAATTTGATTGTTTCTCCAATCTAAAGTTTTGTCCTCTTTTATTTCCAACTATTTCACTCACTTCATGTACAGTATGTTTCCTTCTCTTTATTCCACCCTTTGTCTCCTTCTCCATATGTATTTGTTTTGCTCTTACTGTTCTTCTCTCTTTCAATCTCCTTGATTTGCTTTCCATTTATTGCACTGGTTGGTCCACAGGTATCAGGCTACTGTTATGGAAAACCCTATTTGGAATTGGAACACCTGACTGGTCTTACAGATCTTGAACTGAGTAACTTATATGAAACAACATGGTTGCTTTAATTTCACGAGTAGTTAAACTATATGTAAAGAAAAACTTCTTTACGTGTTCTCGTTTTATCTAGGTCAGGGTTAGGGTTAGCCAGGAAGCTATTATTATGTTACTGGGTGATGACTCCATAAGCTCATTTTAATATATATCCATGTGTCAATAACCCATATAAATATGTCAAAAACAGATATTTTTATGTGCTGTCAAATATGAGAAAAAAATGGAGGTTGTGGATATGATTGGTGGTCTGCTTTGGCAATCTCCAACCTATTAAGGTTCATTCGTACCTACTTAAAAACATGATGTGTTCAACCATTGAACAAATGTAACATTATGTATTAAAAACTGGACAGTACAGTCAATGTCAAAGCCACTGTAGATTCTCAGGTTGCCAGTAATACAAATGTATCCTCCAGTGAACGGCCGGGTGAATGTGTCCCTCAGGTTTCTTCACCATCACATAATTGGCTCGCCCTTCCTGACTGTCACACGACCATCAACGACCTTAAATGCTGCTCGACGATGACACACTAATCCGGATGACAGCGCTAAGCTGCTATATAGGCATCATCTGCTTACCTTGAAGCCACCGGACATTTTCCAGCAGGAAGGCAAAGTCGTGAATTTGATTCAGTGGCGAGGTTTGACCTCTGCTCTGATGCATGTGAGTCACATACACAGGGGCAGAAACTGAGGGAGAGACACAAGAGAGAGTATTCTGTGTGTGTGTGTGTGTGTGTGTGTGTGTGTGTGTGTGTGTGTGTGTGTGTGTGTGTGTGTGTGTGTGTGTGTGTGTTTAATTGAAAACCAAGTATGATCATGGAAGCGTTCAACTTAATAAAAAAAAAACGTTTTAACTTACATATACAGTTTATACAATAAGACGAAAACAGAAGTATTTTATAAAGTCAAAGGTTATATTTCAATGATATGATGAAGGGTTGAACCGAAGGCTGGTGAGGTTCCCACTAGTTATATTTGCTTATGTGTATATGTTTGTATCTCAATACAAATTGGGTATTTAGCATTTGTTGTATTTTGCGTGCTATTATATACCTACACAACTGAATGAACACACACTAGGCATTGGAGAACAACATGCAATAGTGACATTTGAATCATCACTACCAGCTGCACATGCAAGTATTAATGTGATAATCTTTCAAGATTACATTTTTATTTTGTCCATAACAACTTTCAGTTATTTCTGGCCATTATTTCTCATAAATAATGTTTTTGGCCTAGTGGCATACATTTGTGTGTGTGTGTGTGTGTGTGTGTGTGTGTGTGTGTGTGTGTGTGTGTGTGTGTGTTGTGTTGTGTGTGGTGTGGTGTGTGTGTGTGTGTGTGTGTGTGTGTGTGTGTGTGTGTGTGTGTGTGTGTGTGTGTGTGTGTGTGTGTGTGTGTGTGTGTGTGTGTGTGTGTGTGTGTGTGTGTGTGTGTGTGTGTGTGTGTGTGTACAAAGCACTTATATACTAATAAAGGACTGGCTTATCTATAGCCAGTTGAGGAGCACTTGAAATGTTTGGCTCTATGAAACCTGATGTACTTATATGATTCTGTTTTCTTCAAGGTTGTGTCTTCCTGGTCAAATGTACTTATTGTAAGTCGCTTTGGATAAAAGTGTCAGCTAAATGCAATGTAATGTAATGTAATGTGTGGTGTGTGTGTGTGGTGTGTGTGTGGGTGTGTGTGTGTGTGTGTGTGTGTGTGTGTGTGTGTGTGTGTGTGTGTGTGTGTGTGTTGTGTGTGTGTGTGTGTGTGTGTGTGTTGTTTAGCTGTACTGGCTGTAAGCAGGTGCTCGGGTGTCCTTGGTCTGAACTTGACACTAGCCTCATGAATCAATCTCCACTCCATGGTTATCTGGCAGTAGTGTAGGTGACAGTGTGGGTGTGTGTGTGTGTGTGTGTGTGTGTGTGTGTGTGTGTGTAGAAGATGCAGGTTAAGACTGGCTAGGAAGGTATTAACTTCTGATTGATTAATTTGGCTCTAATCCACCTCCCAGTGAAAGGTGCTGCTCCCCTTCCCCTTTTAGAAACGTTATTTAGTGGATGTTCGCACACTCTTGAGCGCTACATAAAGGTCCTGAAAAATTATCCAACAGTTTTAGTTCGGCTTGAATTTTTTTATTTTCCAGGACAATAGCCGCTTTCACACCTACTTTGCGGTACTTAGTCCCCGGTACTTTGTCCCCCCGAACTCTTTAGTCCCTGGAAATGTGCTAGTTCTCTTTATCTATCGCGTTCTCACCGGAATAAGTCCCTGAGGGAGGATTACGCAAATGAAACGGCAGACGTCACTTCTTCTTCTTCTGCTTTGGGTTTACTGGCAGGCCGCAAACAACTTCACGGCGTATACTGCCACCCGAAGTCCCCCGGAGTTGGAGACTGGCTTGAGTAGAAGCTGCTGGGTCACGTCTTCCGAGTAAATCGGCAGAAGCGCTAACACCTCCTCATCACTCCACCGCTCCCATGTTTTCCCATGGCAATATAACATTAAAACAGTTTGTTTTTCTTGGACCAGAAAGGGTTAGCAAACATCTCCTGTAGATGCTGCAAAGACAACACAACTTTATTATTCAAAGGTTACCTTTCTGCAGATTTCTAAATTGATGACTTGTGCACCGAACCATAGTCTGACAAACTGAATGTTGATGAAGTGGAAAATGCAGGTTCAATGTTCTCCTCTTGAATTGCTCTCACTGTGAGAAATTAATAAGGGAGATGGAGAGAGAAAAGAGAACGGCAATTATGATTAATTAAATGATGTTCGTGTGAGCATAGAGACAGGTTTCTGTGTGATATGTGTGTCTTTCTGATATCCATTACAGGTTTAATTGTTTAATTTGTGCAGCAGCTTTCAGCAGTCCTCTTTTCTCAAGTGTGATGCGTTGCCATGCATCGCGTTACAAGTTATTTTAAACACCCACACATCTTGAGAAAGGACTTCATTATTTGACCTTTTTCTTATGGCTTTATAACATGTTTTTCTTTTGCTGATCAAGTTTGGAACCTTGACATTTTCTTTCTATTAAAGAAAGATGTTTGTCTTCCTTTATTTTTTAGATCCTAATATCTTTTTAATGTGTGTGTGTGTTTGTGTGTCTGTAATGTGATTATAACTAATCAACATTTAAATGTGTGCCTTATTATGCAGCTTATTATTCTAGCTTGTGTTATGTGTATTTTATTGTTTTACAGTTTTTAAATGTCATTCTATTATATGATTCCTGCTACACCATTTCTTAATGCTCTTAATATCTTTGCATTCATGTACAGCACCTTGAATTGCCTTGTGTTGAAAGGTGCTATATAAATGAACTTGCCTTGCTTTGCCTTGCCTAAGGTCAGCAGAGGAAAGACAAATGAAGAGGAGGAGGCTGGATGGAGGAAGTTGGAGAATGAGTTATGAAGAGTTTCCCAATGAGGACTTCATCTCTGTCGACAAAACAGGTGAGACAGGGTAAGAAGGAGGGATGTTAATGAACAGAGTGAGTGAGAGAGTCTGTCAGAGAGCATGGCATGATTCAATTGTATGGACTGTGTGTGTGTACCAGGGGAAGATGGTGACACTGAAGCCTTCTGAGAATACTGTTTGGAACAGAGAGGGGGAGGGAAAGACAAAAGAAAAAAAGAAAATTCAGAATATGATCCACAAAATGACCTTACCAGATATCAACCAGTCCATAGAAGAAGAACAATTATATTGAGGACGAATGGCAAGTTGCAAAACAAAAAATGTATTGACTTAACATGCAAACATCCAAAGGGAGTTTTCTTCTGTAGGTGTTTGTTGCCACTCTTAATTTGGTAAGGAACTCGCGAAAACCTGGATTATGTCCCGTCAGGTCTGAAGGGACACGACTTTGTTCAGAATAGTCACCCAGGTGCAAATAGCCCTTTTCATCTGGGTGCAAATAGCATTGTTGACTAGTCATCTGTGACCAAAATGTCATCTGCCTTGGAAAGATACACATTTGAATCGTTTACCTTATTTTATCTCTGCAGGACTAACATTTGATTCTAGTTTGATGACCACACACGTTCAGAAAACGACAACAACGTTGGAAGTCTACTTTAAAAGTGCAACTTGAATATTCAACCTCAACCTTGGGAACATGAAAAGTGTGCAGTAGGTCAGACATTCAGGTCAGAAAGAGTTGTCATTCAGAAGTAATCCAGAGTTTAATAAAGGAGAACCACTCTAAAAAGCTTCAATCCATTCACCTAAATGGGTTTCTTTTATCTTCATACATTGATAGTTTGCCGGAGGATAATTTCCATTTGCATTTAGCATATATCTTCTCCCTCAATGTTCATGACATCAATTTTCTCCTGATTTATTATAATTTGAATTAAATGGGATCTTTTCTCTTTTTTCAGATCTAAGTTAGTAATTATTCATTAACTTCCTGATAAGTGTCCTTCAACGCACGTCATTAACATTTTCCCAGTTATTTTCCAGCAGCTTGACTGGCAGTATTACATAAAACATACCCCACTTGCTGCTCTCCAGGATCCGAGGCAATTTAAGAATAGTATTTTTCCCTCTCATGAAGTAGGTCGCGGCTAATTGCTAATTTGACGATGAAGAGCAGGAACATACTGCGGTAGAAATGACATGCAAGGCTTATCACAGCAGCTGTATTAATAAACATGAGGACAAAATGCCTGTGTAATTTGTCTTTTGACAGCACAGACTGCACATTGATTTGTCTGTTGACGAATTAGAAACACATAAAACTTTCTTGAATGTACATCTTTGTGTATTGTAGAAAATAAACTGCACTCAAGCTGCTCATTTATTAAGGAATAGGATAATATATTTCTGGCTATTGGATTAAAATCAACAAGGTCTGTCAGTTTCTAATTTCCGGTTTAACAAAACATGTTACAGTATGGAATGATTTAAAAGTTAATAATGTGCAGTGTTTAATTGAGCTATGAAAAAACAAGATATCTTCTTTCATGACTGTCCGCAAAGCACACATCAGCTCTGTGTTCTCAGATTACGCTTAATTGTTTTTCAACCTTAATGGACCCTGGTTGCAAACAAGGTTTTAGCCCGCAGGCAATGAAAATGATGATAGAAATGTTATTATGGTCAAATTAATTAAACTCTGTAATTAGGTTATAAAAATGTCATACGTCTCAGGCAAAGGAGATATTAGAGCGTCTTTGTTTATAATTAATCACCTGATAAGACTGGTATTGACTTCACCCACAGTAACCTCTGGCTGGGTTTCTTATGGATGCCTTTCCTCCTTCCATTGTTCCAAGATTTAAAAGGTTTATTGTGATTCTGATATATTTTTCAAGAGAGATCTGGCAAATAATGCAATATAAAATCATTGTCACAACAAAGACGGAATAAAACAGACAAAGACGAATGTAACATGCTGGAAAAGAGCAACAAAAAAACTACTTAAGTGTCAAAATCTTCCCATTTGTGAGAAAAGTGTTGCCCTGACAAACTCCAGATTCTTAAGAATGAATAGAATGTAACAAGACAAATCTGACAATTTAAGATTTAACAGACTACATTGATAAATCAGAAAAATAATCAGATAACATGACACTGTTACCTAGTTAGGATGTCACCTGGGCGCCTCCCTAGGGAGGTGTTCCAGGCACGTCCAGCTGGGAAGAGACCAAGGGGTAGACCTAGGACCAGGTGGAGGGATTATATCTCTTCGCTGGCCTGGGAGCGCCTTGGGATCCCCCAGTCAGAGCTGGTTGATGTCGCCAGGGAAAAGAAAGTTTGGGGCTCTCTGCTAGAACTGCTACCCCCGCGACCCGACCACGGATAAGCGGGAGAAGATGGATGGATGGATGGAACATGACACTGTACAATATGTCACTCTCGTCAATCTACTTCTCAACATATTTACAGATTTTTTCAGATAAATATCCAGTGTTTACCCTACCATTGTCTTGGCGGGGCGCTGCGCCCTGCCAACGGAGCCCCACGCCCCGCCTGAAATTCAAGGTGTTTTTAAAACATTTTTCAATTTAAAAATAATATATATATAGCACCAAATTGCAACTGAAGTAATCTATCTACGGTCACTTTTCACATTGAACATGTGCTCTTTTATTAAATAAACTAAACGCCTATGTTATTTATCCAATGTATGTGCATGTTTCAGTGTCCACTGCTTTGCGTATAGAGTGGCGAAGTCACGCCCATCTACTTCCACCCCTTGGGACCTTATTTCTGAAAAATTATGTATTGAAGTCAATGGAGAGAGAATACTTATCTTTCGATCCCGTTTGAATTGTGCCATGAATTACACATATGTAATTCTAAGAATACACGTAAATACAGTAAGATTGTTATTCACGTCGGTGGTAATGATGTCCGTTTACGCCAATCAGAATGCACCAAAGTTAATGTGGCGTCGGTGTGTAGTTATGCTAAAACAATGTCGGACACCGTAATCTTCTCTGGTCCCCTCCCCAATCTGATCAATGATGACATGTATAGCCGCATGTCATAATTTCAGCGCTGGTTGTCTTGGTGGTGCCCAGCAAACAATGTGGGCTTCGTAAATAATTGGACAGCCTTCTGGGGAAAACCTGGTCTGATTAAGAGAGACGGCATTCATCCTACTTTGGAAGGTGCAGATCTCATTTCAGCAAACATTTCAGAGCTTTGTGGACTTAATCCATGACAAACTGGAGTTGAGACCAGGAGGAGGAGTCGCAGTTTTATATGTTTCTCTGCGCTCTCTCCAATAAAATACCCAATATTAACGGTGTGTGTGTCTGCCCAAGGACAATTTAAAGTAAAACCTAATAGAGGTGTCACACATAATAACTTAATAAAAGTAAATGTAACAACTACTACAGTGCAACAAAACAGGAAGATTAAATGTGGACTTTTAAACATAAGATCTCTAGCATCTAAAGCAATATTGATAAATGATTTAATATCAGATTATAATATTGATATATGCTGTCTCACTGAAACTTGGTTGAGACATGAAGAATATGTCAGCATAAATGAGGCCACTCCACCCAGCCATATCAATACTCATATTGCCGAGGCACAGGCCGAGGAGGTGGAGTTGCAGCCATCTTTGACTCAAATTTACTTATCAATACTAAATTAAATTATACCTCCTTTGAAAGCCTCGTTTTTAGTCTTACGCATCCGACCTGGAAAACTTTGCAGCCAATCTTATTTGTTACAGTGTACTGTGCACCAGGTCCTTATTCAGAATTCTTATCAGAATTCTCTGAGTTTTTATCAACTTTGGTTCTTAAAACAGATAAAGTAATTATCGTAGGTGACTTTAATATTCATGTTGACGATGATAAAAATAGCCTTACTGTTGCATTTAACTCTATATTAGATTCTGTTGGTTTTCGTCAGAGTGTAAATAAACCAACCCATTGCTATAATCACACTCTCGACCTTGTTCTGACTTATGGTATTGAAATTGAGCAACTATTAGTCGAACCGCATAATCCTGCTTTATCCGACCATTTTTTGGTAACTTTTGAAGTACTGTTACGAGACTACAAAGCATTAGTCAAAAGCTCCTGCAGCAGAAACCTATCTGTTACTGCTATAGCCAAATTTAAGGAAGAGATTACAACAATACTTAACTCGATAGCATGTCTGCATGTAAGGGAGGAAACTTATACAAAATGTACACCACCCCAAATTGATCATGTTGTTGATAGTGCTACAGATGCGCTGCGAATAAAATTAGACTCTGTTGCTCCTTTGAAAAAGAAGAAAATAAAACAACATAGATTAGCTCCATGGCATAATGCCGAAACCCGCAAAATAAAGCAAAATTCGAGACAACTTGAAAGGATATGGCGTTCCACTAAACTTGAAGAATCTCGTTTAATTTGGCATATTACTCTCAATGAATATAAGAAAGCACTACGTAAAGCAAGGGCAGCCTACTACTCTTCATTAATAGATGAGAATAAGAATAATGCAAGATTTCTTTTCAGCACTGTAGCCAGGCTGACAGAGAGCCACAGCTCGATTGAGCCTTCTATTCCCATAGCACTCAGTAGCAATGATTTTATGTGCTTTTTTAACGATACAATTGTTACTCTTAGAAACACAATTAATGACCTCTTGCCTTTGACCAGTATAGTGTTATCAACAGCTCCCGGAAACCTAAGTTCTAATATTACACTAGATAGTAAACTAGAATGCTTTTCAGCCATAAACCTTGAACAATTAAATTAAATGATTTTTTCTTCTAAACCATCAACGTGTATCTTAGACCCGATTCCAACTAAGCTGTTAAAATAAGTTTTTCCATTAATTAGCACTTCTTTATTAAATATTATGAATATGTCTTTATTATCAGGCTATGTTCCACAATCATTTAAAGTTGCAGTAATAAAACCTCTTCTTAAAAGCACAACCTCGATCCAGAGATTTTAGCCAATTATAGACCTATTTCTAATCTCCCATTCCTCTCAAAGATTCTTGAGAACGCGGTCGCAAAACAGTTGTGTGATTACTTAAAAAACAATGATTTATTTGAAGATTTTCAGTCTGGCTTTAGAACACATCATAGCACAGAGACAGCTCTGGTTAAAGTCACAAATGACATTCTAATAGCCTCAGACAAGGGACTTGTCTCTATTCTTGTTTTGCTCGATCTCAGTGCTGCATTTGATACTATCGACCATGATATCCTATTGCAAAGACTAGAGCACTTAGTTGGCATACAGGGAACTGCTTTAGGCTGGTTTAGGTCCTATCTATCTGAACGCTCTCAGTTTGTACGTGTCAACGATGAATCTTCCATGCAAACCAAAGTTAGCCATGGAGTGCCACAGGGCTCAGTGCTTGGACCTATTTTGTTCACACTATATATGCTTCCGCTAGGCAATATTATAAGGAATCATTCTGTAAATTTCCACTGTTATGCGGATGATACTCAACTATATTTATCCATCAAGCCTGATGAAACCAATCACCTAAATAAAATTCAAGACTGCCTCAAGGAGTTAAAAACGTCGATGACCTTACATTTTTTGATGTTAAACACGACCAAAACTGAAGTTATTGTACTCGGCCCAAAGAATCTACGAAACAAACTATCTAAAGATATACTAGTTATGGATGGCATTTATTTGGCCCCCAGGAATGTAAGGAATCTTGGTGTTATATTTGATCAGGATTTATCCTTTAACGCCTACATAAAATCAATCTCAAGGACTGCCTACTTCCATCTACGCAACATTGCCAAAATTAGGCATATCTTGCCTCAAAACGATGCAGAGAAACTAGTCCATGCATTTGTTACTTTTAGGCTGGATTATTGTAACTCTTTATTATCAGGGAGTACCAAGAAGTCAGTCAAGTCGCTTCAGCTGATTCAAAATGCTGCAGCTCGTGTACTAACCAGAGTTAGGAAAAGGGACGACATTACTCCTGTTCTGGCTGCCTTACACTGGCTCCCTATAGAACACAGGATAGAATTTAAAATTATTCTTCTCGCCTACAAAGCCCTTAATGGGCAGGCGCCATCTTACCTTAAAGAACTCATTATACCCTACTGTCCTACTAGGGCATTGCGTTCCAAGAATGCAGGGTTGTTGGTTGTTCCTAGAGTCTCTAAAAGTACAATGGGAGCCAGAGCCTTTTCTTATCAAGCTCCACATTTGTGGAATCAGCTTCCAGTTTGTGTTCGGGCGGCAGACAGCCTATCCGTTTTTAAGAGTATACGCTTAAGTTAAGACCTTCCTTTTTGATAAAGCTTATAGTGATAAAATAAAATATTCTAATAAGAGTGCATTGACGTAGATACGTTGTGCCTCTTCACCTATACATTTTAGTTCTTACTCTTTCACTTAAATCCTAAAAACTTAGATCTTATATTTAAAACTTTATCCAAACCTTTCCCCTCTATGACCTCTCAAGGTTTATTAGAGGGTAACAGGTTGCAGAGAACGCCTAGCCCGGCCGGGGAGTGTGGAACATCGTCACTGACGCACTCCTACGTCTGACAAATTCAGGTTCCAATGGGGACCTTTTTCCCTCTGTGTGCCTCTCCACCTCTGTTTCCTACTTCTTACCTGCTACCCTTTTCCCTCAACCTATCCTAAGGGAGTGCATGTATGTAGACACGTTAGTTTAGCTGCTATAGGCTTGGACTGTTGAGGGGGGCACCTTACTCCGTCTTTCTGGCTGTTTGTACCTGTGTACTCTCATGTTCCGATTAACCCAGTTTCCCCCAAATCTCTTTTTTGTGTCCATATATACGCCGGGATCCTGAGTCGAGGCTAATCATGTTGCTGTGGTCGTGTGTCCTGGATCCTCTATCCTGAGCACTGGATCTGAGTCCTGGACTTCGAGTCGTGGCTGAACCTGTCTCTGCGGTCCTGCCAGACTCTCACCATACTACTTCACTGATGGCTCCCACAAGATTGCTGACATCCTCGTGGATTCATCTTCTTATTATAGACACATGCATTTCCAAACATTTGGACTACCTATGTTGTAAATGTATTATCTTTTTGATTTACATACGGCATCTATTGCACGTCTGTCCTTCCTGGGAGAGGGATCATTTTCCCTTTAAACTGTGGGGTTTTCTCTGGAAGTTTTTCCTTGTACGATGTGAGGGTCTAAGTACAGATGGTGTCGTATTGTACTGATATTCTGTACACACTGTGAAGACCACTGAGACAAATGTAACATTTGTGATATTGGGCTATATAAATAAACATTGATTGATTGATTGATATGATGTTTGTCAATCTTAAAAAATAATTTCCATGTCAAAAAAAAAAGTTTGTCTTAAAACTGTTGAAATATAAGACTATGAAAAATACGCAACTAGAAAGACTACAAATCCCAGAGTCGCGTACATTAACGTTACACATTACACTCGTGTTACTCACCAAAACCTTGTAAAGCCGGTCCTGCATGCTGGCTCTTACGGAACCGACTAACTCCCCTTCTGTGTATGTACAGTTCTCAACATGGCCAGACTTGTAGTGATTTTCACCTATATTAATACTTTTCACTTCATTCTTAAAGAAAGAGGTGAAATGTGCTAATGTGACGGCCATCTTGGTGTTGGTGACGTATGCAAGACCAGAGTTGTAGTTCATTGAGCGCTTCACACAAAAAAAATGTGTTACTTCACAGTTTTACGATACATTTTTATTTTTTTGACTTGCAAAATTATCTTTTAAATTGACAAACATCATATGTGTAATTCGTTGCACAATTCAAACGTGATCAAAAGATAATCTTTCTCTCTCCATTGACTTCAATACATGATTTTTCCAAAATAAGGTCCCATGGAGGTCCACCGGAAAGGGAGGGACTTCGCCTCTCTATTCACAGGCCGTTTCTCAATCGCGAGGCAATATTTCAAAGATGCTACGTCATCGAGTGCCGCCGAAGGACTGTTCCAATCTCCAGCATACTTGGAATTCCACCGAGGCCGCGTCCTTGGTTTGGGGGAAATTTCGAGGCTGCACATGGGTAGACTTCGCGTCCTTAAAATCCCCACAATGCTTTGCGCACGGACCAATTTCAAAAACCCTTGCGGAGAATGGCTGAACCGACGCAGCACACATTGAAATGTAAGTATGGAGTTCATAATTAGATAGACATCGTGAGTTATTTATTTTTGGTACAGTTTATGTTGAAACCGTTAGAGAGAGTGGCACACTTGTTAGCCTGTTCCATTCTTCTTCGTTTTCCGTAGCCGTGGCTTGGAAGTATACTTGCTTCGTTTCTGAAGGAAGTGACTTGGAAGTACGTGACTACCAAGCCAGCATCCTCGCGATTGAGAAATGGCCACATTCTCCCTCCGCTCTGTTTCTAAAGGGCGCTCCGCTCCCCCCCCCCACACACACAAATGCGCACACACACACAAATGCACACACTCACAATCAGAGACAAGAGCGGAGGAAAGGAGGAGAACAACAAAGTGTAAAAAAGTCAAACAAATCTGCATTATTTCCCCGAGCTCTGCTGTCTGCCCGTTTGTGTCCCCGCCCCCCCAGTTTCACATTTGTTTATTATAATTTTTTAACCTCAAGCCGTTATCGTCACGGAGGAGAAGGACACACACGGGCCGTTTCTCAATCTCGAGGATGCTGGCTTGGTAGTCGCGTACTTCCAAGTCACTTCCTTCAGAAACGAAGCAAGTATACTTCCAAGCCACGGCTTCGGAAAACGAAGAATAATGGAACAGGCTAACAAGTGTGCCACTCTCTCTAACGGTTTCAACATAAACTGTACCGAAAATAAATACCTTACGATGTCTATCTAATTATGATAACAAACAAATGTAACAAAGTAACATATTTACCAACACATGTTCTACGCCACTACATACTTACATTTAAATGTGTGGTGCGTCGGTTCAGCCATTCTCCGTAATGGCCCGTCCACACAGCGGCGTGCGTTGAAGCTTCCAACGCTTCTGCCCATTCACTTTGAATGGGGTGACGTCACTTTTAGCCGAACTGCATCGTGGGAAGCGACGCGGAGCGTTGCTGGCGTGGCTCGCTGAAAAAGTTGAGCAATGTTCAACTTTTGACGCCTCGGCAGAAGCGTCAGCCAATCGAATCATATGCCAGTACAAGCTCTAGCCAATCAAACCGCTGCTTGTGTGTCAGGGGCGGGAGATTCATGTGATTGGTTGTTGGTCGAGTGTCAGACACGCCCGCCAGCAAGCGTCAACGCACGCCGCTGTGTGGACGGGCCGTAAGGGTTTTTGAAATTGGTCCGTGCGCAAAGCATTGTGGGGATTTTAAGGACGCGAAGTCTACCCATGTGCAGCCTCGAAATTTCCCCCAAACCAAGGACGCTGCCTCGGTGGAATTCCAAGTATGTTGGAGATTGGAACAGTCCTTCTGCGGCACTCGATGACGTAGCATCCTTGAAATATTGGCTTGGAAGCCAGTATCCTCGCGATTGAGAAACGGCCACAGCCTGCCCAGGTGGACGCGCGCGAACGCGACAACGAACATAGCGTGCGCATTCTAAAAATAGCTCACAGATGGTGAGCAGGTACCGTGGTTTTGAACTATAGTATTGAATTTCACAGAAAACAACAATGAAACGCCAGCAGAAGAATAGTCTAATGAGTTGGGTGAAAAAAAAGACAGGAGATGTGAGTTGGTTTATTCAGTAAATTAGCTCAGGATAGTTGGATGTTCTGTCTACTACACCTTTATACAGTATATGGTCTACACCTGTTGATGTGAGGCTAATGCAGGATTTGCTAGCTTGATGCTACCGGCATTTAGCGGCAGTGACTCAACAAATTGCCTCTTAAAATGTATCGTCAGGAATGTATGACAAGCAGACTGCTTGTTTAATGTTAGAATGTTAGGTGGAGCTGCCTCCAGCAATAGAGGATGAGGCAGAGAGAAGCAGCAGCAGCACAAGGTTGCAGCAGGTATGTTATATGCTGTAGTCAGGTGATTTAAATGTATCAATGAAAGGAAGAAGTGTAGGCTACATGATAAGAAGGGAATACAGTTTGAATATAAGTAATACAGTACAGTGTAACACTGTACTTTATTACTTTTTAATGTACAAATACTTTGTTACTGTACAATATCAATAACAATAATCCACAGCTCCTCTCTCTGCTCCAGAGGATACACAAAATAAAAATAAATGTTTCGGGGCAGCACCCTGCCAAGGCAGTAAACCTAGGGCAGGGGTCTGCAACCTTTTTGACCAAAAGAGCCATTTTGCTCCTTTTTCCAAAAACATTTTTTGTCTGGAGCCACAAAACATATTTCATAGTTTTTTATTGTTATATCAGACAAAAACTATTTTTTTTGCATTTATTAGGCTATTTATTACATGATATAAAACTGTTAACTTCTAATAACAAACAAAGAACTCTTATAAGGAGAATAACAAATAATACACAGGCCTACTTTAAAATAAATTAAACACAGCACTTGGGGAGTCCTCTGCACATTTGAAGAAAAAAAAAAAATTATTAAAATGGGCCCACTTTGAAATAAATAAAAAAGTAAAGTATACAACTGGAAAAAATATGCCTCTTCCTTCAGACTTTCTTACAGAGCCCCTCCTCCAACACACACGAACGCGCACATGACCAATGAGGGCACGAGATAAGTTTGTGCACAGATGGAAGGCTGACAGGCAGTTAGGCCATCCAGTTATTTTAGCCGGGCCGGCTCAGATGATTGGTCGTGCTTTTTACAGTAGGCCTACTACGGCTTCCAGAGATTAATTTTTGTATGTATTTATTGTCAAAGCATTTAATATATTCATTGCTATCGGGACGTTAAGAGCATTCCATGGAATATAACAAAAAGTGTTTTCTGAAATAAATTACATACCCCATTGAATTATGTCTGAAGATCGTCAGCTGTCTTCCTCTCCCTTGTTGGTCCTCAATACGTAAAGGCTGCACCACCGTTGACAACTTCTCTCTACATATCAAACATACCGGTAAACCAGCATCGTTTGCTGTGAAAGCATATAACTCTGTCCACACAGAATTAAATCCTGTGTTCCTCCGGTACTTTTCTTTGATTTATCTATAGTTCGCTCATCGAGCCAGGGGTCAAGAAAAGGCTCTCGCGCGGGACCGTAGCAGGATGTGATGCATATTTTAGTTGACCTAATTAAAACCGTTTTGTTTTTTATTTATGTGTCACAGTATCACCTCAAAATACAAGATACGAAACATTTTCAACCATGCAATAAAATATAAATAGTCCTACAAATACTTTTATTTTATTTCCTTCTTATTTTTGTCTAAGCTCAAGGGAGCCAGAGCAGAGGGCTTAAAGGGCCGCGGGTTGCCGACCCCTGACCTAGGGGAAACACTGATATCTCTACATGTATGTTGTCTGTCAAAAATGACCCACTGTCCCACTGTCCAACATAAGTGATGACCATGGCAGGACATTGATAGCAAACAGCAGGTGGAAACATGGCTCCATTATTTGGTCTTTGACCCAGAGAGAGAGAAATAATGGCACAACCACAATTGGTTTCCAGGTAGTGAGTGTCTCAATGGCTCTTGTCGCACAGGGCTCTCATAGAGGGAGAAAGTGAAAGACATCAAAGGCAAGCTTTACAAAGAGGTATTGTCAAGGTCCACTTTGATTTGGTTGCTCACCTCTGAAGACTCATTGCTCAGTTTGGCCTGAGAAGGAAGCAGACAAAACATCACCAGTAGCAGTCAGTGTTCACTCAACCATTCAATTGATCTTAAACATTGACTGTAAACTCCAGGTTTTGATGTAATTCCCTCTGAATTGAAGGGCAGCAAGGGGCATCTTTTGTGGATCATTCACTTTAAAATGATATTCCATAATCATAGGGAATAATTCATAGTAACGAAGAGAGTGATTCACATTATAACTGTGGCAGAAATTGATCAGAATTTAGGGAATTTCTGTTTGTTGAGCTATTTTAAAGAGTTGTCCATCCATCTTTGATACAGGTCTCTTTCTACACTTAACTCAAATTCAAAGTAAAATGATAAGAGCATTACTTAGATAACACATCTTTAATCAGATTGCTCAATTACAGACTGCTGTCCAAATTGTTTTCTTTGATGCAGATTATTATGTTTGCACTGAAGTTACAACAAAAAATCATTACAAATCTGTATATTCTCACATACTCATGTTTTAGTCTGCCCATGTAAAGCACAAGGCCTTAAAATGTGGACATTTGTTTTAGGTAACCATGATTTTCATGGACAAATTCCGAAATAAATATTATAGCACATAATATAACCGAATACTTTGTGGTCGGTGGCTTCTTTATAAAGCCATTCATCTCTTTCACAGTCGTATGTGAAACATTCTTTATGTGTGGATTTCACACAGTTGACAGGAAGTAGTCATGGAGTCAAGCTGTTGCCTGGCAATGCAATCATGTAGAAACGTTCTTTTAAGATCAAGGATTCTCCTACTTCATGCTGAATGTCATGGGTATGCACTCTTCTATGCATTGAAATAATTGAATGTCCTTTGGGCGCATGAGAAGAAATAAGACAACAAAAGAAGAGAAAAAAACACAGTGTAATGCAGTGTTTTACGGTGAAAGCAACATCTAAATACTGCAATTTAAATGTTCTGTAAAACGTATTTATTACAATTAAAATGCAGAAAAAACTGTTCTATGAATATCAATCTCAAATGTATAGTATAAAACCGCCTGTAAGGATTATTGCTCAGTGAAAAAAAAAAATGTTTCCTATACATTAGTCAGATTGAAAGATTTAATATATATGTTTGACTATTACCAGAAATGTGAAGAATGTAATCCAGGGTACACAGATTAAGCACTTAAAATAAAAAATGCAAAGCTAGATAAACCTCAAGAGCCACTGTATTAAAAGTTGAACAAATTCCAACAAGAACTTGCCTTTCCAAGAATTTATTATATAATAGCAGTGATCAAAAACATAATTTCTCAACATACATATTAACAGTAATGTCCTGAGCTTTTACATCCACATAAGCCAAATGAAGATTGTTTAAGCAACTTCACTTTGTAACAGCAAACTGCAAGAGTGGCTACAATGACCTTAAAAGAATAGTTTGACATTTTGAGAGTTACATATTGCATTTTTTTTAATTAGTTAAAAGAACATAAAAAAAAGGCACTTCAAATTTTAACTACGATTTAAACAATCAAACAAACTGTAACTTGGGCACATCGCCACATGCCATTGATCTTACTGTCCATATTCAGACATCACGCCACTCATGGTCCGAAAGTTCCTGTATCAAGGTGAGAACTCTCGGGTTCACCTGAAGACGGGATGCGCGTGTCTTCTCCACTTTGGTGCCCTTCTCTGGGTTGATGGAGAAAAAACACCTTAAAACAAAAATACAAACAAACAACAGAATGAATAATAAAATAGCTTGCCTAACAACAAAAAACTTCACATCAATCTTATTATTTTGAAGCCAAAATGACAATTATCTTAACCCCCAATTCACTGAAGCAGCTGCTTTAGATTTGTTGCAGTTTAATAAAATAAATTGTTGGATAAAGCCAATCCCAAAAAACACATACCTCTGGACAAACTCCAGGATGGATGCCAGCTCTGACGGGTAGGCGATGTTGAAGCAATAATAGCTCCCAAACATCATGGACAGGGCAGACACCAAGGAGGGGATGTTGTCCTGTACTATGTTTCGATCCACACTCAGCATGAATCGCCTTTAAGAATAGCATGATCGTCCTAAAAAAGAAGAAAAACACAACTCAAACTAAATTAAAACAAGACTTGTCTTCCTGAAACATTTCACAAAATAATTTTAGGACACATGTTATTACATTTTAAGGTCTGTTAAATTGCTCACCATCAATACAAAAATGTATGTATGTGTATTTGCAGGTTAAGGGGAGATAAATGTAATGTCAATTTGACTTGCTTTTAGGGGGTAGTTCATATTGTTTGAAGGGGGGTTGTTGGAGCTACAGTTTGGAGAAACAGAGAGGAGAACCAGCAGACAGCTAAGCAATGCACTGCTGTGGACATACACTGAACAAAAATATAAATGCAACACTTTTGTTTTTGCTCCCATTTTTCATGAGATGAACTCAAAGATCTAAAACATTTTCTATATACACAAAATAACCATTTCTCTCAAATATTGTTCACAAATCTGAAAAAATCTGTGATAGTGAGCACGTCTCCTTTGCCGAGATAATCCATCCCACCTCACAGGTGTGGCATATCAAGATGCTGATTAGACAGCATTATTATTGCACAGGTGTGCCTTACGGCCCGTCTACACTACAGGCGTCAAAAAATGCTTTCAACGCTTCGCCCATTCATTTGAATGGGGTGACGTAGGATATTTTCAAACTTCGCCGAACTGCATTGTGGGTAGCATGGCAAGGCGTTGCAAGCATCGCGAGCGTCTATCGGCGTCAAAAGTTGAACAATGTTCAACTTTTGAGGCTCGATGCTTGCTCGAAGCTGGCGTCAGCCAATCAAATCCCGTTTTTGCAATTCCCGCCAGTACAAGCGCTAGCCAATCAAACCGCGTGCAAGCTGGGAGAGCCAGACCGCAGTTCATTTCCTCATATTCCAAACGAGAAATTACGGTAGCAAATCACCCGGTTCTTTCCGACCAGAACTATTTACCGGGATACAAACCGGAGGAACCAGGCATGGAGGGAGGTGGCAGAGACAGTGGGTGAAACTGGAAGGTTTTCGCCTGTTTGGGGATTTTATATCCAGTTTACTTCGTTTTAACATTGCTATTGCTTTGTATGTCGGGGGCGGGAGATTCATGTGATTGGTTGTTGGTCGCGTTGCTCGCAAAAAATCGCCAAGCTTCAGACACGCCCAGCTTCAAGATTTGTTTATGCCTGTAGTGTAGACGGGCCGTTAGGCTGGCGTTAACGTTGACGGCGTTGACGTTAACACGACTGCCCGTTAAATTTGAACCCGCTCAGATGTAGCTTCAAACCCCCCGCTCAGTAGACATTATAACTATGACTGCAAAATGCACTCAATTACAAACAGAAGCTAGTATTGTCCTGGCAACACACCGTTGTTTGCTTGCAGTTCGCGCCAACACATTTGAAAAACACTGGGGTTTCTATGCAATGCAGAACATAACCCCTCGTCTGTAGCGTTTTGCTGCAAAATGCACTCAATCCCAAACAGAAGTTAGTATTGTCCTGACAACACACCGTGTTATAATTGAAGTTTGAAGAAAATAAACGGTTAGCTTACCAGTGCTACAGATGTAGCTCCTCCGCTCATGTGTACACAGCTCCGTGGTCCGTGGCAGGCAGACTTGAGACGAGACAGACTTGGTCGCGCACTGAGCCGTAACCGTTAACCTGCAAAAACAGCAGGTCATCATTTTTAGCACGCTAACACGACTGCCCGTTAAATTTGAACCTGCTCAGATGTAGCTTCAAACCCCCCGCTTCACAACAGTATGAATTAAACGAAAATAAAGAGTTCAGCTTTTAGCATGATACTTCAATAACGTTACCAGACTATTGAAATTAACTCTCTGTCATTAGACGTTATAACTATGACTGCAAAATGCAATAAATCACAAACAGAAGCTAGTATTGTCCTGACAACACACTGTGTTATAATTGAAGTTTGAAGAAAATAAACGGTTAGCTTACCAGTGCTACAGATGTGATCCTCCGCTCATGTGCACACAGCTCCGTGGTCCGTGGCAGGCAGACTTGAGATAGACTTGGCCGCGCACGGAGCCGTTAACCTGCAAAAAGTGGCTGCTCCCGCGATAATTAAATAGTCCAATGAAATAACAGAAACAAACTCTACTGCTCAGTAGGCGTGTCTCAGTTCAGCGGTCGTTTCCTTCGGAGGCTGCGTTCGTTGACCGTTTGCGTCACTTCCGCCGAAAGGCTGTCCCAATTTAAAAAAAATACACGAACGTAACGGCCCGTCCACACGTAGTGGCGCGTTCGATTACTGTTTGGGCTGTCTGCCGTGGGCTGCATTCCACTCCAAATAGCCGGGCGGCCCCAGAATTCAAACGCCAGCTGTTTTATGGATTCTCATTTAATTTCCAAGAATATCTCAGTACTGGGTTATTTCCAATTTCAAAATAAACACATGTATTAAACAAATAGAAATAAGAAGCAAGTATATTATAGTATAATCAAGAATGAAAACATATAAAAAAACATGATTTTAACACTGTCATGTTGTAATTTTAACTGTATTGTATTGTTTTATGTATTACAGTTTTTCTGTGTTCAAACCACAGTAATCTGTAAATTATACAATGAAATATCATTATTTTAACATAATTCTTAATGTGAATTTAACAGTTTTGTTTGGTTCAGTACTTCACGAAATATTACTGTAAATTAAACACTGCTTCATTGTTTCTCTATTTACAGTTTTTTGATGTCGTGATTTTACAGCTGTTCCCTGTTAATTTCACGGACTTTTTTTACAGTGTGACTGTTTGATCTTGACTTGCTTGAAGGCCATTTTATCTATTCATCACAAGCACTACATTTCCATATAAGTATAATAATAATAATACTAATAATACATTAAACTTGGCATTATTATGAATAGCACTTGTAGGTGCCATAATGCTACTTAGCCCAAGTTCATTATTTGTATTATTATTATTTGTTTACGTTACTTTTATTTGTTTGTTGAGTACTTCCGGTAATTGTCACATGGCCGTGGTTTGTCTATTTAAGTCACCTTTTTCATGTCGAGTGCGGATGACAGAGGGTGAGCTTGTGCTGTCATTTTTTCTGTTGACCATTTTGTCCATAGTTACTATGCTATGATTTTGTTTATTAAATATCCCAAAAACTATCTTGCTTCACTGTGGACTTTCTCTTCGAAAACGCGTCACAGTTTATAGCCAAGTTTAGCCTCTCGGCGACTCAAACGTAACTGGGGATTGAGCCGCCACAGCGCTAAATATAATTAAATAATAAATATTGTCTATAATATTATCAGCTGCTCTGATACAGCAATATCAGCACCAGCATGTTGTATTAAAAAAACAAGGATTGCTATATATTTAAAAATGTGTCTACATCAATAAATAATGTTCTGCTTATGATCACAGCTTGCTCAATCTGCTCTGCAGCCGTGTACTAGTGAGTGTGCCGACTAATTACCCATGAAACACATCAATATGCTGCATTACTAATTGGAACCAAACTGTGAGGCATTTAGCGGAGTTCAGTATTTGTGTGGTGTGTGTGTGTGTGTGTGTGTGTGTGTGTGTGTATGTGTGTGCCAATCTGCATATTGATCAATGTGTTTTAATAAAGAAGAGGTCAGGCCTCTTCGATTTTCAGAATGAGTAATCAATCTACTTCCTTAAAAAAACATCTACAAGTAAAGTACTCTTGGTCTTTTAGGTTCCATTCAACCAATGAGGATTTTGTTTGCAGCTTGTCCCCCACATGACACCATGAGAAAGGGTATGTACTTTGCTTATTGGGTATTTAATCAAGCCATTTTTATACATTGCATCCTTTTATGTAAAGATGGTGCTTATCTCGTTCTTTTTGCTATATGTTGGATTTTAAAATGGGGAACTGAAATTATAATTTGTATTCCGGACCAAACATATACACAGAGGTATTGTTAGATCCAGCATATTTTTGGAATTAACAATAGTTTGTATCAATATGAGGAAATATTTGTAGTATTGTACTGTAACACACAGTATACAACACAGCTGTATAAACACAGTATATTACCAGGGTTAGGTTTACTGTAGAATACTGTAATAAAATAGAGGTAATATATTGCTGAAAAGATTACAGTTGTAACACAGTGAAATAACAGGGATGCTGGAAACCACAGCTCAGTAGTAATTTTAAAGAAGCATGTGTTGTCAGTAGGTGAGTAGGCCTCATCTTTTCGTTGTGATGTTGAGTGTTGATGCAGACAGAGTGCAGGACTCACAGCTTCTCGGTGTGGTGCTCTGATGCCCCCCTGCTGATCCTAAGCTCCCTCAACTGCCCACAAACAGAACACACACACCTGCAGGAGCTCTTTCTACACTATGAATCAGAATCAAAAGCAGGTTTATTGCCAAGTAGGTTAATATCATAGACATTTATCAAAAGTCTCATTTTAATTATATATAGAATGTCACTGTTTCTTTCTGCCATGGGTTGATTTTCTCACAGTTTAAATGTTTCAGTTCTATGAAACTACGGCTGTCACTCCCAGGCTTTTATCGATCCTACAAAAGACTGGCAACCTTCTGTTCTGACCATTGTCAGGTAAATTATCATACAGTTATACTTAACATGTCAAAGCTTAACCCCGTCTAGCCACCAATCTTCAATACCCTGTAATGTAATCACTATGTATGTTGTCTGGCTGAGACCTTCCCCTTCATGTGCCTTCACCCTGTATTAAATCATTGCTTGTATGTGTAACTTGGTCATATTATTGTACTATGTTGATGGTGCAGGACTCTGTCCTTCCAGCTGGAAATAAGATTGATTCTGTTAAATGCTTATTACTCTTTATTAAATAAAAATTGTAGATTTGTTCTTTTCTTACCAGAAGGTGATTAAGTGTGGAATTTCTACCACAGTTAACACATACGAGGAATTTGCCTTAGTGTATTTGGTGAATACATAAACACAGTCAAGGAAGATAAATTCTAAGGAAAGAACCATCCAATAAAACAAGGGAAAAAAACTACAAGTACATTAAAATATGGCAATATTTACATATTAAATATAGATATACCAGTAAAAAAGTAATACAATAAAATATGTGCAGTTACAATGTGCAACAATTGGAGGATTGTGCAGGACTGACAGTGTTAAGGTGAACAAGATAGTGGTTGCATAGTGTGCAAGTGAAGCCTTTAAACTTTATGAAATAGAATATCTTTATTCACCTCGTAGACTGTTGGAATTCTGCAGAAATGTGAATATAGTAGTTAAATAACAAGAATGAAAGATAATGGGAAAGCCCAAGTGCACGTGAGAGTGATAGCAGGTGTCCACCTTTAATGTTACTGTCCCTGTATAACACATCATGCTTTCCTTAGTTCTTTCCTTGTCCTAATACACACTCCCAGCTCATTTTCCCAGTGTTCCTTGTTCCTCTCTTGCTTGCTGACTGAAGTGCAGAGCAGATGAAGGTGGATCAGGTCACTAGAGTACAGAGCAGAGGCCAACACAGGGGCTTCTCAAAGACAGATCCCTCATTCCTCTTGACAAGCCTGGCAGTGTGAGCATCAGTGCTAACAGCCTGTTTACACGCCTCATATATTACACCCATCAGTAACTCTGCACACACACACACACACACACACACACATACACACACACACACACACACACACACACACACACACACACACACACACACACACACACACACACACACACACACACACACACACACACACACACACACACACACACACCACACACACCACACACACACACACACACACACACACACACACTTATTGTATCACACAATGTCAGAAAAACCCACATACTTTTAATCATCCAGGGGAATGTCTAATCCTTTCAGGAACACCTGCTTCTTACTGTATACGCAGATTTTTTGGACCAGTAGAACCCACGGCTGGCAGCAGCTTCTCTTGAAGTGTTGGCAGTTAAACGTTGTGCCCTAGGGATCTTTAACAGTAGTTGAGGGCATTAATTATTCATGTTATTTACCCACGTTTCCCAGACACAACATTAATTCAAAATTGTAAGGAACTTCTAAACCAGCAGTTCCCAAAGATGCGTTTAGGAAGTCTCGAGAGGGCCCGTTAATATTGTAATGCAACATAACCACAGTAAAACCCACACAGGAAGTTGGCCTCTGGTATCTTAACCTCCTCTTTAGTACAGTACATCGGATATCTCTGATTTAAAATAAATGTACTCTTAACAGATTTAGAATCTGAATTGCAATCAAGACTCTTACACCCTGGACGTTCAATCCTGGACTTGTTTCATACAGTATTTAGTGTCAGTCTACTATCGGCGATATCTTTTATTTATTTTGCATTTACTATTCCATGCCCCACAGCAACTCTTTAGGGGTTGAGGCTTTTTCTTCAAACTTGTTTACGGGCTGCCATAGGGGCGTTCACACCAAGTTCTTTTCCCACAATAGTTCATGAGAACTATTTTAGTTCTGATGAACTCAGTGGCGAACCGTCAGGGCCTTCAAGGTATTCAGAGAATACCCTGGAACACTCAGACAAAAAAAACCAAAAAAATCGATTTAATTATATAAATAAAATGTAATAAAATTTATATAAAATGAATAAATGAGAATCAATTCAATTCAATTCAAAACCTTTATTTATCCAGGTAAAATCCCATTGAGATCAATGATCTCTTTTTCAAGGGAGACCTGCAGCAGTAGGTTCCACAAGAAGACATAAACAACAGAACAACAAAAGGACATCATACAGCAAAATGTACAGGGATTACAATTTACATATTTAACCACAAGTACAGGTACCAACAGCATCTGATTTTGTAGCATCCAACCGAGCTTTAAAAACATGTAGTGGTACTAGCTTGGTAATTTTCCATTCTTTTTGCAGACTGTTCCATGTTAGTGGAGCTGCACATCTAAAAGCTTTCTTCCCTAAGACAGTCCTAGCACTTGGCACATTTAATAAAACCACAGCATGCGATCTCAGGCAATAAGTACTTTCAATTCGCAGAGAGATCAGGGAGCAGATATAAGATGGTAGTTTATCCAACATGGCTTTGTAAATGAAAAAGTACCAGTAACTGAGCCTCCGTACAGTAAGTGATG